TCCATGGTGCAACAACCTGGTGGGAGGGCAGAAGCGTGAGATGGGAAGCCCCCAGCCCCCTTGCAGCCCCCAGCCCCTGTTTGCCTCTCAGCACCACCCCAGGCTCCCCACGGGAGAGGGCTTTGGGCAGCCCCAGGGAGCTGGGACCCACACGGTGCCAGACCCCCTGCGGAAATCTAATCTCCCATCGCAAAGGTGGAGTAACCCAAACCCCTGACCCTAACAAGGCGCTGGACACAAGGGAGGAACAGGCAGCATCGATTATCTGGCAGCTGCCTTGGTACCGTTCCCTCCATGGCCTCGTGGTGTTTGGGGTAAAAATAGGTCAATTAAGGATCATTACAGCCCCTCAAATGCCAAAATGTCGCTTTGTGCAGCTGGCAGCTTGTTAAAGTGAGGCACGGCCGCTTGTGCCAGTGGTAAAAGAAAATTTCCCACCAGCTGGGGAGGGGATCAGGAGCCCAGCAGTGGGGTCCCAGGGGACAATTTGGGGTGTCTTACCTTGATATTAGGACACAGAGCATAGCAGGTGAGCTCGAACCGAACCTGGTCATTGCCCTGAAACACAAACGGGAGATGCTGAGGGCTCAGACAGCTCCCAGCTGCTTTCCCCATGCAGAGATGGGACCAAAACCCCCTGGCTGGGACCTGGAGGGGACACATCTTGAGGTCTCAGCTCCACCAGCACATGGGACGAGCTGCTTCATGGGAAAATCCTCCCAGTGCACAGCTCGGGAGCCCCTTGGCTGAGCGCAGTGTTTGCAAATCCCTGCGAGAGCCACAGCCCGGAGGGACGTCTGGCTGGTGCTAGCAGGGACTTCACAGACTGAGGCTCTCTGCGCAGGAGGGGGGTGACATGTGTTTTCCCAGTAATGCCTCTGCTGACTGTTTTCACTGGAAAAGCAAGGCCTGAGGTTGAGGACCCTGTTATGTCCTCTGTTCCCCCAGCACGGAGGGCGGCAGGAGCAGGTGATGGATGTCAGGACCTGGGCTCCATCCCTCAGGGCCACTCCTGGTCCTTTTCCAGGGCTGGTTTGAACCCAAAATGGCCTTTCCTGGTGCTCCTGATAGAACTGGGCACCAGATGTCCAAAATCCTGGAGCAGCTCATTCACCTGGCTCTGGGGGAGCCTGGCTGACCCTGGGGTCATCTGAGCCCAGCTCTCCCCTGGGCTGAGACTCCCAAAAACTGAACTAGTGGAAACTCAGATTTGGGTATTTTTTTTGCCTGTAGGCATCAAAGGACACACAGAGGAAGAGGGAGAGGAAGACAGCGATGTCCAGGAGGATGCAGTAGCTCATAATTAAGTAGCTCTAAACCTCCCGTTATCTTAATTGGCCCATGCTGATGAGGTCCCACTAATGAGGTCAGGTAGCTGGGAAGGGGCGAGGAGTGAGCCTGGGAGCTATTAGCCCCTCCCAGGGCACAGCGCTCAGCAAAGCCTATTTTCCACCTGCACCAAGGGGCGTAAGGACCCCCCTCCCCTCCTCTTGGCCCCAGCCAGGGGGATGCATTTACGGAGGTCTGGGAAATCCCCCAGGACTATTACACGCAGGCAGCACATCCACCAAAGCACTCATTTCCCTCACAGCCCCAAAACACGTCCATCTGCTCCAGCAGTGGGGACACCGCAGATGGCCCGCATTTAAGATGCCGCAGCCGGGGACCGTGCATGGCCGGGTCGAGTTACCCACCGTCGGTCTCTGCCTGCGCCCACGGCTTAATGGCTCGGGGAGCACAGAGAGCCCAGGGAGCAGCCTGGATGTCCCTGCCTGCGGGGACAGCGGGTGCTGGGGGTACCCAGGAGGGGACATCATCGCACCCCCTCAAGTAGGGGCTTCCAAGAGGGGGCTGCTGGTGATGGGTAAGAGGGACAAGGAAGGGGTGCGGGGAACCCGTCACAGCAGGAGCAAGAGTTATTTGAGCTGAAAGAGGGGAGATTTAGATCAGATATTAGGAGGAATTTTTTTCCTGTACAGGGAGTGAAGCAGTGGCCCAGGTTGCCCAGAGAAGCTGTGGATGCCCCATCCCTGGAGGGGTTCAAGGCCAGGCTGGATGAAGCTTTGAGCAACCTGGGCTAGTGGGAGGTGTCCCTGCCCATGGCAGGGGGGGG